GGAGCCCGATGTGGGACTCGATCCCGGGACTCCAGGATCATGACCTGAGCCGAAGGCAGTCGCTTAACCAACTGAGCCACCCAGGCGCCCCTCCAGGCATCTTTTCTGGCAGGCCTCCCAGCTGCTGGGATGGGGCAGCAGGCCAGGTCAGTGCCTGGGGACTGGGAAGTCACCTCTCAGAACTGAGACTGGCCTGAGGGCCCTGGGTGAGGGGCAAGGTGGGGAGGGTAGCACTGGCTGCTGGAACAGCGGGGAGCAATCCTGGTCTTCTCTGCCCTCAGAGAAGCCCCCTCCCCCGGAGAGTGACCTCCTCCTGGGGGCAGCAGGGGCCCAAGGCCAGCACCTGAACCTCTGGGGCCAAGCGGCAGGCCCCAGGGCAGCTGGGACGGAGGCAGCAGGAGGGTGGACACCACGGGGCCACGCGTCTGTGGGGTTTCAATCCTGCAGCCCCTTCCCTGCCTTGTTCTTCACCCCGGGCAATGGTGTACCCGCCCCGGGCGGCCTCCTGACTGGCCAGCAAGCAGGTGGGGACCTGCCGCTTGGGACATGGAGGTTACCCGGGGAGCCAGACTCCGGAGTTTTAGGTTTCTGTTCAGCCACTGGTGGCTGTGTGAGCTTGGGCAAATTGCTCGTCTGCTCTGGGCCCGTCTCCCCTTCTGTGAAAAGGGGACATCGACATCTCTAGAGAGGAAAGAGCCAGAGGGGTGTTGGGTTCCTAGACTCAGCAAATAAAGATTGAGGACTCCCAGTTACATTTGCATTTCACATAAATTGACTTTTTTTTTTTAGTATATCCCAAATACTGCATAGAAGATACACACCGAAAACTTCTCGTGATTTGTATGAAATTCAGATTTAATGTGGCATCCTGTATTTTATCTGGCAGGCTGTCATATGAATGAGAATATACACAAAACATGAAGTGCCCAGGAAATGCCATTTTGATTGTTGGCGTCTCTTTCTCAGACTGGCTCTTCTGGCCAGTGACCCTGTCTTCCCTCCACTGTGCCCTCGCTTACCTTTGCTGCGCTCACCACCGCCCAGCAGCAGGTGAGGCCCAAGACGACCAGCCCCAGGTGCCCCATGGCATGCGCCTGCCTGTGTGCATCCCTCCCCTCCGGCCCGCAGAGATTTATGCGGCTGGAGCTGGCCGGGAGTCCGAGGTAGCAGCTGTCCGCAGAGGCCCCTTTTCCCTCCTCCCACCTGTGCCCCTTCCTCCAGGCTGGCCACACTCCAGGCAGAGTACCTGGAGCCAGGAGACAGCTGCTGTTTCCAGCTAGCCTCGGGCTGGGCCAAGGTCACACGGTGGGGCACACGCATGCGCGCACACGGCGCGTGCCAGGCTACCTTCCCCAGGGCTGGCTGCCCCCAATGCCGTGTGCCGCCGCGCACCTGCGCGGGTTACCGTCTACCTGGGAGTGTTGGCAGATGGCACAGGACCGAAGGTCGCCAGGCCGTCGGCTTGCCCGGGTGAACAGCGCCCTGCATTCTGGCTCACTGACTTACAAGGACTTGGCTCTGCCCTCAGAGCAATGGGCACGCTCGGTCTCCGTGGCCCGCCTGCCACCCAGCCCCAGCTCAACAGAGGAGCTTGTAGGGCACCGGGCATGTGACTTCTGGGCTGTGCGCTGCGCGCCACTGGTCAGCTGGCGGGGTTGACCCTTGTTACCACGGGCCCGCTGGGTGTGCAGTCTGAGCCAGGTGTGGGGGCCCAGAGCAGCACAGACGACCCTGCCCTTGGGGGTGGGGGAGGCCTCACACGCAGTCCATGTCCTGGGATGGGAAGGCAGGAGGCTCGGGCAGACAAGGGAAAGGGGGAAGTGGGGCTCCAGCCCAGCCTCGAGGGCTTCCTTAAGGAAAAGGAAAAGCCGGGCCTTCTGGCCACAGAAATGGGCCCCGCAAAGACCCTGCGGCAAAGCCAAGCAGAGATGGAGACCGACCAACGGAGAGTGGAAGGGACAGAGACCAAGAGCGTCAGAGAGCGGGAGGGAGAAAACTGAGCACAGAAGTAGGGGCAGCACAAAAGCGGCCACTGCTGTCTCCTGTGGCTGTGCAGGACTCTGGTCACCGGGGTGACTTATTAGAAAAGGCAGGCCACCACGGACAGGGCCTGACATGGTGCCTTTGAGTTCGGCTGCCGCTGGGGTCACGGCTCACAGCTCACAGAGGCTGCTCAGACCCCACCGCACAACCACCTCTAGTGAGGGGGACGCACTCAGGAGCCAGGGGACAGCGGAGCCCCGTGAGGCCAACAGCCCCGCAGCCTGGGCGCCGGCAGGCCCTCTGCTGCCCGGGAGCGGCACCTTGGACACAGGCCACAGCCCGGCTACCATCGTGCCCACTGCCGCCACCAAGCCTGCCTGCCTGCCTGCCAGATCCAAATCTTCTGTGACGCAGAGTGGAGAGAAGCTGGAGAGAAGGTGGGG